TGCGCCACGCGCTCGCACATCCATTTTTTTCATCTCGTATTTTTTCATAACTTGCCCCCGAGAGTGCGTTGTTGGCGGAACGGGAAAATTGTTGTCCGACTTTCCTTTTAATCGTTCGAATTTGTCGCGCTTGATATCTCAAGATCGGTCGAGAAAAATCTCAGTCGCGAGATCATTGTCGTTCAATCGAGATCGATGATTGGCGATCGTCGGCGAAAGATTTCGAATTTTTCTACAAAGAATTTTTCGAAGACACTTCGATCCGGTCGAAAATTTTCCAGCCGCAGCGGTGGGTGTTAGTATACTGTTTGCAGTTAAACAATATTACGTAGTAAAATTTATAGCCCTTCCTCGGCTTGTGCGCGCCCTTACAATGCGCCCGCCTCGTTCTACACAGGGGTGAGAGTATCAACGATATGAGAAATACGGGTTATAGCCAGCGCCACCCCCGCAGCAGCCACGCTCTCGCGATGATGCACGGCTTAGCGAATACTGTCCTTAACGCGCTTTTCGAAACGCCTTAAATAACATTTGTATTCGCCAGATAAAAAAAAAAAAACACGTCAGGATCATTTGCACGGAGGATAAGAAATGACGTTTCTTCCAGAAAATCTGCACAGTTGTAAAGAGAAGAGAGGTTTGCACTGCTGCATCAATATTTTGTAAATATTATGGCGTAACATAAACCGTGTTACGGTAACATCAAGTATGATATAACATATTTGCAGTTCGAGTAACACAGCAACTAAAATTATTGCCGCGGTAAATGTGAGTCTTGTATATTCGTGTTTTTCCAACGATGAATATATTTTTCTTGCCAGAATGTGTGTGTAGCGTCTCATCTCGCTGTTCTGATAACTTTGTGAATTGTTTTAATAGTGAAATATATAAATATTACAGGAAAAAGATCGATTTTGTATGTAGATTTTACGGTGAAATGATAGTTTGTAGCGAAAGAAATTTGAAACGTAATATGAATTGACATGTAACGTGACATTCTGTGAGAGAGATAAATATTTTGTATTTATTACTCAAAATTGTGTTAGAGCGAGCAGTCTTCCAAACAAGTCTTTTAAAAATCAACGAGTCTTGAAAGCAGAAAATTTGTTAGAAAACACTTTTGAAAATCAGAAATAACGTTCGAGAAAAACGATTTCCGAGATCAAAGAGTCCACAGTTGTCGACCGAGTCGTAGAAAAACAACGCGTAATGTACGTGGAGTAGCGCGAGGAACATTATTGTGTGTGTTAAACGTTTTTAACATTAATATATATGTATATATATACATATCTGTTAATTCTGTTAAATCTATTTTACTTTTACATGGATTTTACTAAGTCCCCCTTCCCCTAGGAAGTGCAATAGTGAAAAAAAAGAAGGGAAAAGTTTCAAAGTTCGACACGTGGAAAAATAACGCGCGTTGCAAACCGAGCGCGTCGCATTTATACGTTCTGTAGCCCGTAAAAGGACGATATTCCTTCATCAGAAAGCCCGTGGGCGTCGTTATACGTCCGCATACATCCGACTCGTTCGCACTGTGTTTGGCCTCGCCGTCGTTACCTACGTTTTTACGCTTCTAATATCGCGCATACAGCTTTACATGCCACACTGGCGAAGGGGTGCGCGGAAGTCAGATATAGGGGCAGTCGGTTTCGAACGACGACAGAAATCGAGTTAGAGAGTAGTCCGCATTCTTCACGACGAAATCCGCAGTGCGCCGGTAAATTGGGAAAAAACGATTTTCGGGAATTTATGCTTCTAACAAAGAAGCCAATTTTTGCATACATTTTTTTAACGTTATTTTTTTTTTTTTAATATGACTATCGTTACTTGCCGTTTTCTTACATTTTTCATAAAATTTTCTTTTTTGACCATACCAGTATGCGTATGACAACAGAGATTTTTTGAAGTCTAAAATTATTTTTTCAAAATATTACACACGGTACACATTTCTACAAATTGAGATGCGAAAAAACAACGTTCTTGTTAGAAAATTAAATATTGAACTCTATCTTTATGCTTCTTGGTTTATTTCGTCAATCTGTTTAGACTATGTATCAGAATCTGAATTCCGTAAGAGAAATTTCGCAGCCTCGTTCGATGCAATTGTCAAGATGAGATTTTTTGAGAAACGGCCACCCCACATGATGCTCGCTATTACCAAAATTCGAGCTAATAGCCAGTTAGGGGAGTTCGGCCAGCGGCTCGCAGGAGAAGGGTTGGACGCAGGACTGTCTCTCTTTGTAGCCTTAATTCGATTAAGACCGCCATCTTTCCCGACTGGCACCGCCGACGTCGCGTTCGTAACTCCGTTATCGAGGCACGACTACCCAAATTCGATCGTCAATATCATCTTGTTGGTCCTCGGGAGACGGCAGACGGCAAAATTGCGTCGACACTGAATAATCGTTCTCCCTTTGCATTCCCAATTACTTTGCCATGTACCTTGCCGAGAGAAAAGAACGAGATAAATTTCTTCGAGAAACGGCTCGCGAGAAGGTGAAATTGTTTATGCGACATATAATACTTGAAACTACTTTTGGCTTGATTAAAAGGCAACATCAGAATGAATAACAAAAAGAATTACTCTTTCAATACGAACTAGAGCTACCTATTCTCTAGTACATATTAGAATACATACGGTAGATGATTAATATTATATTGTTGCTTGTGAATGCGATCTTTTTCCTATTGAATTTATTTCCGATAATTATTATCCCGAACACGTGCACTCGCGCTATATAGATCTGCTGTGGTTCCTAAAGAATACCGTCGTAGACTCCGCGCGCAAAGTATCATTTATTCGTCAACTTATGACGCTAATTTATTACAACTGTCTTTATTACGAGAAAGAAGAATGGCGCGAGTAATCGACCTGTGTAAAACGCGGTGTACCCAGACTCATTTAGAAGATACGGTTAGAAGGGCGCGCATTCCTACTCGTTCGTCTCGCCGCTATCAGGACAATTGTTATTGTGCGCAGGTGCAATAAGATCCTCGCACTTAATGCGCGAGAGTTTCCCTGGAAATTCAAAAACATCGTCCCCGTAGAAGTCTCTTGACGCTACTGCCGGCAGCGTTCGTTGAACTCACTTACACCCGCTGTAAAAGAACGAATCCTCACAGTTTTTCATAGCGCTCGCTAACCGAATGGTGCAAGTGCTCATATAGACGTCCGTATATCTCTATACATGAAAAACTGCAGTCCGAGTTGAACTCCAATCTGCTTGACATTGTCAACTTCAATTTCGATTTAACAAAATTGGGGAGCATAAATTTTTTCTACAACTTTAGAGTTGGACATACAAAGTGTTTGACAAAACCCATCCCGTTCGCATATGTTTCTTCTTCGCTTTTAGAAATTTTATAGCTTATCTAGATATCGTAAACTTTTTAGATAAAAAATGTCATCAAAAACTCCCTCAAAATTATCACGTTATTGACTCGGTTACGCGATCTCGCTACTCGCATAGATACAACCTACTTTCCCAGAGTACAGATTGCGCGATTTTTTCTTAGAATGCATTAATTTTGATGCGATACCTGGGTAGAAAGAGAGAGCACCGTTTCCGTCATCAACAGATCGTCGTCGGCGTCTTCGTCGTCGTCGTCACCGTACTCTCCACTGCTGCTTGGCAGTAGGTACTAGTAACGACAGAACAACCACCACCACCACCTCCGCCATCAGCAAAGCGCGGCCTCCTCTCATCATCATCAGCGGATCGCCGTTTTGGGAGGCCGATCAGTGGGCCTCGCCGGGGCCGATGCCGCGTGAGAGAGAAATTCTCTCCTTCTCGAACGGCGAACAAAGCGAGACGCGTGGTCTCACGGGAGGCCGCGGGAGTGAGAGAGGCGGTATGAGGCGGTCTCCAGGGGCGGCGCCTGTCGGCGCGTCCGATCGGAAGGCGAGGCGCGCGATTGGCTGGCGTTATCGCGGTGCGAGGGGAACGTGAGGACGCGTGAGGTACGGCGGCGGGCGCCTCCACCCGCGCGGCGTGCAACGTTGCCGTCTCCTTGCCGCGGTACGTGTGTCTCTCTCTCTGCTGCCGCCGCCGCCGACGCTACTGCCGTCACGCCACCCCTCACCGCGTCCTCACGCGAGCGCGCGCGATATCGGCCGCACCACT